TTTTTTGTGTTGTCTTATGAATTTTAGCATTTTTTAAATTTCTTTTAAAAATATCATAGGAATATTGATTGCAATTTCACTGAATCTGGAGATTGCTTTGAGTACTATAGAAATTTTAACAATATAAATTCTTCCAATCCATGAACATAGAATATCTTTTCATTTATTTGTATCTGCTTTAATTTCTTCATTAATATTTTCTAATTTTTAGTGTAGAGGTCTTGCACCACCCTAATTAAACTTATGCCTAAGAATTTTATTCTTTTTGAAGTTATTGTAGATGAGATTGTTTTCTTGATTTCTTTTTAATATAGTTTGTTTTTAGTGTATAAAATGCAACTGATTTTTGTACATTTATTTTATATTTTGCAGTTTTACTGAATTTGTTTATCAGTTCTAAAAAATTTTTGGTGGAATCATTAGAGGTTTCTATATATATATGATTACATCATAAGCAAACAGACAAAATTTTACTTTCTTTATAATTTGAGTGCATTTTTTTTTTCTTGTCTAAGTACTAGACTTTGTGTTAGATGTCTTAATTGCTAAATAAGACTTCTGGTACTGTGTTAAGTACAAATGGCAAGAGTGGGAAATTTTTTCTTGTTCCTAATCTTAGAGTAAATGCTTTCAGCTTCTGACCAATGAGTATCATGTTAGCTGTGGACTTGTCATAAATGCTTTATCATATTGTGGTACATGTTTCCTATTCCCAGGTGTTAAGAGTTTTTATCATGACAAAATATTCAATTTAGTCCAGTGCTTTTTTCTGCTTCTACTTAGAAAATGATCATTTTAAATGTTTAATTCTGTTAATGTGGTATATCAGTATTTATTGATTTGCATATGTTGAGCCATCCTGGGACCCAGAGATATATTCTACTTTATTATGACGTGTGATTCTTTTAATTCACTGAAGAATTCTGTTATATATATATATATATTTTTTTTTTTTTTTTGAGAATGTTTGCACTAATATTCCTTAGCAATTTTGATCCTTTTTTTTTTAAATGTAGTGTTGTTATTTGACTTTGGGATCAGGGTAATGTTGGTCTTGTAGAGTTTTGTTTGGATTGTTCCCTTCTCTTTAAGTTTTTGGAAGAGTTTGAATAGGTTGATGTCAATTAGTCAGTAAATGCTTGGTAAAATTCTCCAGTGAAGCCATCTAGTCCTGAACATTTTGTTTCTGGGAGGTTTTTGATTGCTTATTTAATCTTATTCATTATAGGGAGGTTTAGATTGTCTGTGTATTAGTGGTTCAATATTGGTATGTTGTATATTTCTAAGAATTTATCTATTTCTTCTAAGTTATCTAATTTATTGGCATAAATTGTTCATAGTATTCTCATGGTTCTTTTTATTTCTATGGTATCATTAGAATGCCTCTTTAATTTATAATCATATTTTTCTGAGCCTTTTGTCCTTTTCTCTTAGTCTAGATAAAAGTTTGTCAATTTTTAAAACTTTTTAAAAATTTAATTCATTTTTGTTGATTTTTTTACTTATTGGATAATTTAATCCATTTACATTTAAAATAATGGTTTCTAGGTAACAACTTACTATTGTTATTTTGATTTTTTTTCACTTTTTTGTGTTTCTTTTGTTCCTTTTTCTCCTGCTGATTTTGTTTGTAATTTGACTCTTTTTTTGTGGTATGCTTTTATTTCCCTGTCTTTTTCATATCTGCTACAAGTGATTTTTTTTGTGATTAACAAGAGGTTTACCTAAATATCTTATAGTTAAAAAGTATAATTTAGCTTTATAACAACATAATTTCTACCACATAAAACAACTCTGTAACTTCACTTCCCTTCCATGTATCATGCTTTGACATCACAATTTATATCTTTTTATATTGTGTATCCAGTAACAAATTATCATAGCTATAGTTATTTTTAATACTTTTGTCCCTTAACTTCATATCAGAGTTAAAATGATACATATACTACCATTACAATATTAAAATATTATTCATTTTATTTTATACTTACCTTTACTAGTGAGATTTTAACCTTCATATGTTTTCATGTTGCTGATTTGAGTCTTTTAATTTTAGCTGAAGAATTTTATAAGCTAGGTCCAGCGGAAAGCAAGTTCTTAATTTTTCATTTTTCTGGGGAAAGTCTTTATCTTTCCTTAATTTTTGAGCTGTAACTTTGCAATATTGGTATTCTTGGTTGATTTTCTTTTCTTTTAGTACTTTTAATACATTATTACACTCACCTTGCCTGCAAATTTTCTGCTGAAAAATCTGTGGATAATCTTATGACAGTTCCCTTGTATGTGGTGAATGACTTTTTTCTTGCTGTTTTCAAAAGGTTGTCTTAATCTTAAATTTTGATAACTTGATTATAATGTATTCCAGTGAAAACTTCTTTATGTTTAACATATTTGAAATTATTTAAGCGTTATTAATGTTCATGAGGGAATGTTTATTTCCTTCTTCAGATTGGAAACATTTTCTGTCTCATTTCTTTATTTTCTTGTTCTGTTCCTTCTGGGACTGCCACATGTGTATATTTGTTCATTGGATAATGTCTCATTAGTCCTGTAAGCCGTTTCACTCTTTTTTATTTCTCTCTGACTGGATAATTTCAAATGAACTGTCTTTGAGTTAGTTGATTCTTTTTTCCATTTAATTGTATCTACTGTTGAATTTCACAATTGAAATTTTTATTTTAGACATTGTATTCTTCAAAATTTCTGTTTGTTTAGATTTCTATTACTTAATGACTTGTCATTTTTCATTTTTTTATGTTGTCCTTTATATTGTCTGTCTTTCTTCTTTTTCAGCTTACTTAACTTCATTTTGAAGTATTTGTAAAGCAGTTCATAGATCTCCATTTATTTGGGGTGGTCACTGCAGGTTTGTTTCTTTGGTGATGTCATATATTCTTGATTCTTCATGATCCTTGAAGTTTTCCATTGCTGTTTCTTCACTTGAAAAAAACAGTCCCTCTTCCATTCTTTACTGACTGGATTTGGAAATAAATAACTTCACCAGTCAGCCTAGCAATAAATTTTTTTGGTCTCCCAGATTTCCCTTTGGATGTGCCTGCTCCACTTCTTTTGTTTTATTTGAAAGGTCAAGTCTTAGGAGTACATGGATTAACTTCATCCTTTAAAGCCAGGACTGGTTCTTAGAGCCTCCTATTTATTTTTTCTAGGGCAGTATCCTGAACCATTCAATGTTGTATGCCTTCTCCCACCACAACAGTCAAGCCAGTTGCTAAATTCTGCATGTGATGTTGAGATTTATGTGCTCCCTACAAATCCTAGTTGGGCCATTTATAGGAACATGTAGGGTGGTATACATTGGGGGTACACATGGCATTGGGGATCTGTACTGACTGGTTGAGAGAATTCCTCAGATAAGTCATCCTACAGGGAATGGTAAGTAGACCTCTTGGTGGAATCAGCAAGCTAGTTAGCAGGATTTGCCTCTGGCTCTTGAGAACTTTATAGCAGCTGTTATCTACTCCCTTCTCATTTTTCTGCTTTTTCGCTATCCCAGACAATTCAATTGTACTGATCCCCTCAGTGTTCCAGTGGGATGGGACAAAGGTGGGTTTCCTGCACAGTGTACTACAAGACTAGGGAAGCCTTTTGCTCACTTTGCTCTCACTTTTATCCATGTCAGAAATTGTAGACTAAGGGGCCCTCTTTTGGCACTTTGGAAAAGGAATGATGCAGGTGAAGTGAAATTGCTCTACTGACCCTCTTTGTGTTCACTGTTAGATTTTTTTGTTGTTGTTCTTCCACTGGGCTACTAGAACTGCAGTTAGACTCCAAAGCTCCCATGGAGGTATTCCTGCCTATGATATTTGACAAATTTGTGTTTCTATTGGTGGATGATATTTGAAACCTCATATTTCACCATTTTTCTGACATTACTCTTTGGAAACTTGTTTTTATAACACCCCAAATACCCCATCCCTTGGTGGTTTTTAAAAATTTAACAATAATCTTATTATATCTTGAATGTAGCAGCAATATTTTTTCCTTCCAAAAATAATGAATCTATATTTATTCCTCACTTAGAACCCAGAGTGATTTTTTAAAATGTAGTTTAAAAAAATTATGTAATTCCACTACTTATAACTGTTCATTGTCTTTAGAATAAGGATATACATTTCTTAATACACCATGTTCAGCCTATTTAGCGATGATGAATCTTGCTCACCACGCTTCAGGTACATAGAACTTCTTTCAAATTCTTAAACTTGAGGTTTTTTTTTTCTCTCCTTGCAGAGACATCCTCACAAAACCATTATGTTGGAAGGCCTATAAATCTCCCTCCCTTTATTCTTATTCATTTTTGCACAGCAATTTTCTATTTATTTCCTATGTAAGTGTTTTAATGTTTTCTACTTAGATTTTTTTCCCCTGAAAACTACTCCTTGATCTCAGTAGGTTAATCTCACAAAATCCTATGCTTCCTCAATGGACTTAAAATATCCATAATTAAGCATTTTATTGAATTGTTTGTTTAAAAACTTGTTTCTCCACTAGCTAGCTCCTTAAGTTCCTCAAGGATAGTCAATATTTTTGCATCACTCAATATTTAATTATCAATGCCTAGCACAATGCAGAGCACACAATAGTCACAAACCTTCATATTAGTTGCAAGAATGAATGGATGAATAAGTGAACAAGACAAGGAACAAACTACACCTTATAACCATTTGAAAATTCTGAGACAACTGCTTTTGGATTAATACAAGCTACATATCTAAAATTATAAATAACTTTATTATGGTAATATGTGTGAATTTATATTTTAATGCTTTAGTCTGATTGAATTTTGGAATAACATTAAGCGCTTTTTGAAACTCTTGAGATAAGACCCATTCTGCACTATAAGTGAGAATGATTTTTCATCCTCTTTCCAGGACAGGGTGACATAATAAAATAAAATTGTGTTCCCTTGTACTGGCAAGGCTGCTGCATCTATAGAGGACTGCTTATTAAAATTCTGTCTCTTTATTAATCAGAAAAAGATGACTCAGAATACCTGGGGATTTGAAAACTTTCAAGATGAATTCAAACTCCTTCTAATGCTGTTAGAATACAGCAGAGCTGGTGAGATTGTAGAGCAGTTTCTTTTTGTAAAGACCTTACTTATGTGTCTTTTTGTGCACCTGTAGATGGTTACAAAGAATAATGAAAATGTTTACTTGCATAAACATGTACATATGTGCTTCCTGTTTTTAGAGACAAAATAAATCTTAGAAAAACATAGTCAGGGATGCTTGGACTTAACTAACCTAATTTTATAGCTATTCTTGGCATCTGTAACTTTGTGACAAGATTCACAACACCATTCTTCTCAAAGATTAGTTGTATTTCAGTAAACATTGCTGATTTACATTTGGTGAAAAAAAAATGAACAGAATGAGAAAGGTCTCTGCTTACCACTGATAATAAAAGAGCCTGACATTCTTGTTAAAGGGTGAAAATCAAATACCAGTGGCTAGTACTGGCATCTTATTGCTTGAAAGGGCAAAATCTTGTTTTTTTCTTAAACTTGGTTGAGACAATTACCTTAATCTCATTAGAATTAACAAAATATCTGATATTTGAATCTGCCCATTATTTGAGTTCCTCTTATCTTCTAGGCTTCTATTTAGAAAATAATCTGAGTCCACAATCCTGTGTTCCACCTTAACATGCTCCACTTTCCTCTAGGAAAAAGCAGCTTGCAAAAATAATTTGCCCACAGTGGTTATTCCTGATCACCCTTTCTATCTATACTAAGTTCCCCCTTCACCATTATTCTCTATTTTTAAAAAAAAACTCAGCAGCTTATACTTATTTTATAATATGTATCACAAGTTGTTACTTATCTTTTTATTTCTTTTTTAAAATCCCTATTGATAATACTTAAATTTCAAAAGAGTAGGAACCATTTCAACTTTTTCCCCTCATCTTTATTTATAAAATTTTAGAAGAGTATCACACATAAAGTAAATGCTCAAAACTATTGAGCGACTTGATGATCTAATTGAATGACTTATTTATTTACATATTCATTAATATTGAGTATCTGTTATCTGACTGACTGAATAACATGTCAACTATTATTCATATTAAACTAATAGATAATTCAGTCGTAAAGTACATGACTTGTCCACATTTGTTCAGTTAATAAGAAACAAGGATAGGCTTTAAACTCAGAACTTTTAATTTAATATTGCTAGTCTAAAGGCATTTTAGTTATTGTTCTCAGTATCCTGATAAAAAGTGAAAGAATAGAAAACTAACATTTCTGGATCCTCTGCTAGTACTTGCCCATATTATCTCACTTACTGCTCTCAACAGTCTTGTGAGGAAGACATTGTTATTATCTTTTTCTTTTGATCTTGGCTGAGCAGCACATTAATTTGTGGAATTTTAAAACATTTTATGTATTCTATTTCTCATTTGATAAGTTCTGAGTTTGAAACTCATAATCTCTATTTTTTTAAAGTCAAACCAGTGATTCTAATACATAGTTAGGCTTAAAATATTTCTCTGTATGTGAACAGAAGAGGCTATTAGAAGTTAAATCTCCAAGGTTACTTTTATAAATGGTAAACTTAGCACTTGAACCTCAGCCTCCAAATCTCATCATTTTTTTACTCCCACTATAGAGCTATGTGCTTTCTCTTTCACATTAAAATTGATCTCAAAGTAACCCACCCTTTTTACCATATAGCTAATTCTTATCATTTTATAAAATCTTATAAAATCAAATATATTTTTCAATAATTCTTTAGCAAGCAGAATTTCTGTATATCACCTATGTGGAGATAAACCCATGTTAATGATTTTGCCAAAGATGTTTAAAAGCTTTTAAATTCAATTTAACTTAAGAGAATATAAAACAATATTTACTGATTAAAATGTTCAAATGAGTATTCATATTCCTTCATCTTTCATTATTTATTTATTGAATATTTACTAATTTCAAGACAGTTTACTTAGTGTTGGAGATAGGATTATGAATGCAATCAATACTCACTCACCACTTAAATACAGTTAATATTATGAAAGAAAGGCATATATACATTTAAGTACACTTTTATGAGCATTGCAAAGAGTGTCAAAATTTATACGGCAAAGAAAACTGACATATTCTGAGGAACAAGGACAACTTTTATGAGCTATTTATTGTATATATCTGGGAGAGGAGATGGAAAAGGGAGGAAGAGAAGAGAGTTGTCAAAGTGACACTATGATTCTGGCTGTCACAAATTTATGAAGATAGTGGTGCGATGTATTTGGGTAACAATTAAAGAATGGTCAGTATGGGTGTTAAAATGAAGAAGATGACAAGGAGAGACATGTACATGTTGAATTTGAGATACAAGATATGCCTATGAACTTCTGGAGCTCCATGATCTAGAGTTTAGAGAAGATGCCTGGGATATTCATCATAAGGTGATAGAAGAGGAAAAGCTCACCTAAGGAGAGAACACTGAGCAACTGAAGTATAAGTCTTAAAAATAGCCGGGCTCGGTGGTTCAGCCTGTAATCCCAGCACTTTGGGAGGCTGAGGTGAGTGGATTCCCTGAGCCCCTGGGTTCGAGACCTGTCTGGGCAACTTGGTAAGACCTCATCTCTACGATAAAATCAAAAATTAGCTGGGCGTGGTAGCGCACACCTGTAGTTCCAGCTACTTGGAAGGCTGAGGCGGAAGGATCGCCAGAGCCCAGCAGGTCGAGGCTGCAGTGGCCGGGAGCAGCCACTGCACTCCAGTCTGGGTGACAGAGTGAGACTCCAACTCAAAAAAAAAAAAAAAAATCTTTGAGAAACTCTAGTATCTAAAATTCAGATGAGGAGGAGGATCCAGAAAAAGAGATTGAAAAAATAGACAGAGAGGTGGGAAGATGAACATGAAAGAATGGTATTATGAAGCCCAAGGAAAATGTTTTCCAAGAAGGTGAGGATTTTCTACTGCATTAAAATTCTGAGAAGTCAAGAGAATGAGAACAAAAACATGATAAAGAGTTCTACAATCGTCTTATTAAGGACCATTGTGGCCTACAACAAGAATGACAAGCCAAGTTGTAATATGTTGATGACTGAGAGACTAGTGAGGGAAACAAGAAGGTATAACATCTAGAATACAGGTGTAGCAATTGACTTTAGATAGAGGACAGACTCTTTCTTATTGAAAGATAAAATCAAGAGACAGGTTCAGATACATTTTCAATAATTTGTAAATATAAAAATAAAGCAAACTTTTTGTCTGATGGCTTCTATTGTCTCTGTGTAAAACGGTATGTGCTTTTCTGAAAGCAATGATATATTATAAGTTAGTTTTTGCTGAGTAACAAACAATCTGAAATCTTAGGGGCTTAAGATGGCAACAATGTATTATTTCTTATGAGTCTGTTCTGCTGATCTGGACTAGATTTCATTGATTTTATCTGGGCTTGCTAATGTGCCTGCAGTCACTTGCCAGGTCAGCTATGAGCTGGTTGATCTAGAGTGACTTCAGCAGAGATAACTTATTTTCCATCCAAGTTGCCTATTGTCTTGCAGCAAGTTGGCCCAGTTTTGCTCTAATAGTGGTAGCAGTATTCCAGGAAAGGAAACATCTGTGGACTAAATGTTTGTATCACCTCTTAATCATATATTGAAACCCCCAAACCATCACTATGACTGCATTTGAATATAGGGCTTTGAAGAAATTAATTGAGATTAAATGGAGTCATAGGATAGAGGTCTAACCTGACAGAATTAATGTTTTTATAAGATACCAGAGACCTCTCTCTTTCTCTTGTTTTCTCTGCTATTGGATAGTACTACATAAAAGGGGATATCTTCAAACCTGAAAGTGAACCCTCAACAGAACTTGACCATGCTGTCACCCTGAACCTAGACCTCCAATTCCCAGATGTGATAAAATAAATTTCTGGTGTTTAAGACACCTAGTCTATGTTATTTTGTTATGGCAGTCAGAGCTGGTAAATATAGAAATAAAAATGACATTTTTAAAACTGTTGTTTGTACCAAGTATGCTACCTATCCCATTAGTGAAAGCAAGTCACACATCCACATTCAGCTTCTGAGTGGAAAAGAATCCCAGAATTACAAGAATGGCATTCATTGGGGCCAGTTATGCAACAAATCCAAAGAGGAAGGGGAAATTGAGTATGTATATTTGAAGAGAATGAATATTTGTTTGCTGTGTATTATGCTGAAGTTGATTGAAAAGATAAATAAATATTAACAGTTTTACTATGTGCTAAAGGCCTGGTTTCTGTAAGTCATCATTAAAATATAGTCATACTAGTCAATTTTGTGGTATGACATTCCCCTCCCCTTCGGGAATGCTAAGCCAACAAACGTATTAGTCAGCTTGGGCTACTATATCAGAATAAATGGATAAGGTGGCTTAAAATACAGAAATTTAATCTTTGTAACAGTTCTGGAAGGTAGAAGTCTGAGATCAAGGCTCTTTTATTGGCTTGCAGAGAGCTGTCCTCTCTCTATGTGATTACATAACCTTTCCTCAGGATGTGCCTGTAAAAGAGATAATTTTCTTTCCCTCTTCTTATAAAGCCACTGATCCTGTTGTATTAGGATCTACCTTTATCAACTCATTTAACCTTAATTTCCTACTAAAATTTTTGTCTTTATATACGGTAACATTGTAGGTTAAGTTTCAACGTACACATTTTGAGGGTACTATTCAGTCGATAACATTCATGTACAGAAAAGAGAAGGCAATGTTTGTTCATTTGTTAAGTGTTTTGATAGATGATGATGAAACTATATAAGTTCAGTGCAATTAATGTTATTGGTTAGGGAAGATTTAAAGACCAAACTGAAAATGAAGAGGTAGAGAATAAGGATGTGATGGAGAGGGATATGGAGGATAAGTAAACAGAGATGTCACTAGATGGGATGTGCAACCTCTTATAATAGTGGTGGTGAAGCAATCAAGCTAAAAAGACTTAAGTTAGGCTACTGAAATTAATAATCTGGGGCATAATGTTAGAAATGACAAGATTCAGAGTATTCTGAAAGACACGAAACATTGGGGAGTTTAAAAAAAATCTCATAGGAGAGGAAGAGAACATGGTACTGAG